TGCTCCAGCAGCCAACACCCAGATAAGCAGGGATTAACATCAGACAAACAATTAATCAGAAAACAATACCCTAATCAGGGAGCTACCAAGAAGAAAACCACACCCGCACCAACACTGGCAGGGCAAGCTACTGTATATAAATAGGGAGCAAACCCCACTCTCACTAGCACTGATGATGTTACCTAGTCAGGTAATGAAATGTCTGCAAGCAAACAACCAAGCTCAAAGAGCACCAAGGATTCCACATCTGGAAGTATTCAATGAACACGAAAACCATATACTGGGAAATAGAAGAAGAGCAGCTATAACTATGCATAGATATGCATGTATGGACATGTGGGAGCTGCTTTCAAAGCAACCATGCTAGGCTTGTACAAACACTACTTTCATGAGTTAAAGTGTGGTGTTTCCTGTTTCCTTTTCACTCCCATGCATAGAGAAGCACCTCATTTGAATGCTTTACACAGCCCAATTAGCAATGGAAGGCTGCCACCTTTACAGCTTGGCTATGGGTTTTCTAGATGCCCACTATGGAAACAGGACTTTGCACTAATAAACTGTTGAACTGATCCCATAGGACTCCTATGTTCTTAAGTAATTAAGAAAATTAAAGCAATTAATCCATTCAAGAGAATGCAATGCATGTACAGTAAGAGAAAGAACAGCACACTGAAATGGATGTGAATTGTGTACAGGATATTCTGGATCTTAATAGTTAAGAGAAAAGAAGAAACAATAAACCAACAGGAATATGAAAGCAAATAATCACCATTAATAAGTACTTATAAGATAAAATGCACATAGCACCCTTTTCTTTACCTGAACAGATACTAAGATCTGACGTAGTTCTTTCTTCAGATCAGTAAAACGATCATGATAGATGGCCAAGGCCCAAGGTTCCTTAAAGTAGCTGGTTAAAAAAGACAAAATTTAGTTACCCAGTGTGCCTCTCATTAACGGCTAATAAAGTGTTTACCTGATTTTTTGCTTTCATAAATTACAGTTCTGGACCCATCAAGATAGTTTGTTCATAAAATGCCTGCCATAACAGCATGGTCAATCAATTCTTTTAATGGATGTTCCTGATGTACAGCCAGCTTCAGTAATTACATTTAAAGTGGCTTAATTCAGAGCTGTGGCAAGAGCCAGTGAAGAATCCTGATTTTATCAGAATTTAAAAGCCTGAAGACCTGTGAGGAGCTGTGTCTCCATTATCTGTTCTCATTTGAGAAAAGCAGATGGTAGGATTAACTGAACTTCTGCATAAACAAATTACATTTGTGTAGACAATGACACAAGTGTTGTTTATCATTAAGGTTTCTGGATTAATAAAGCCAGAAAACAGGCCATAATCATGTTGCAATATGTTCCTTACACTAGTGCACTGCAGCTAAATTAATTTGTCATACAAGGAAATCCTCAGTATGTCCATTCTCCCCAAAATTAAAAAGTAAGACTTATTTTAAACTATATTATGTACAAATAGATATTTATCTAAATGACTCCACATTTTATGACAAGGCAAGGGCTAAAACTGAATATATTTTTTAAAATAACAGATGATTAGAAAAATGTATTCTTGGGATAGCCCTTCTAGAACAGTGAAGTTCCAGTATACACCTAAAGGATGCAAATATAAAGTATGGACAGCTGAGTTACTAAGGGTCAAACAGCTGCCTCTGAAGAATAAGTCATTTAGATCATTCTATAGAATTGACAATTGTTTTAAATAACTTCCATGATAGAAAGCCAACATGCTGTAGCCCAAAGCTACAAATCCTAAAGGGGACATGTTAATGGAAGCATAACTGGATATGGCCAACAAAAGAGAGAGCCAATTTTATAATAAGAATCAGCCAATTAGATTTTCTTCATGGTTTAGTAATATGTAATTTATGGAAAGGTATCTATGAGGCTTAGGTTTGCACACTTGTTCCTCACCCTGTCATGTAGGCCATTCTGTATGAGTTTCACAAGATTAGGCCAATTAGCTTTAACTAGTGATAGTTTTCATTCCTCAGTCTAGGAGAGTTTCAGTCCTATTGCTTCTAACTGATAGTTTCAAGATGATGAGAAACAGAAGCTGCAGGAAAATATGGGCGTTTGAGGCAAAAAAAAAAAAAAATCAGTTTTCCAATTTTGTTTTTAGTTTGTTCATTTAGTGCCCGTACTTTTTACATATGCAGAAATAATCAAATATTTATTTTACTAGTTGCTGGAAAACACAGATTTCTTGGGTGTATGGTTGTTGTCATTGTTGTTATTGTTATTGTTGATATTGTCAGCTTGGTTTTAATGTTAATCTTTTTTCTTCCACTTGCTTCTCAAATCCATTCAGTTATCATATCTTGTTTGTGTAATACTGTACATTTTCATTCATCTTCATTAACCTTTTTTATTTCTCATTCAACCTACAATGATAAGTTTTTTTCTGTCTTGCTGTCCTGTCAAATGTCAATTCTCTCTATAAAACATTTTTGTATTTTTTTCACACATAGAAACATTTACTAAACCATAGTTTGATTATTAGGTACACCCTAGTGGATTTGTACACTCCATTCTCTCCTTCTCCTTCCTTCCTTCCTTCCTTCCTTCCTTCCTTCCTTCCTTCTCATTTTCCCTCAGATTTGGTTGCTATTTTTTCTCTCCCTTCAGTGCCTTCAGATAATCATCCTATGCATGAACATCAGAATTTGGCAGCCTACTTAGCAACCTATTAATGATAGACCATGGAGGGGAGGGTCAACAGGGCCACAGCAGCTGCCTGAATTGGTTGTAAAGGAGGTAATGGAGTATAACTTTACAATTAACATCCTATAGAAAAGAAGTAAAAAAGTTTATTGTTCCAGAACAACATGCACAGATGACCCACTTGACTGATACAGTGAATGACAGTCCCCAAGCCTCAAGTTTATTTGGGACCAATCTAACTTTCACAATCAACCAACTCCACCTATGCCATGCAAATTACTTACTTGGGAATGAGTTGATAGATTTAAACAATGTTTTAGGGAGGCGTTACAAAAATGTGGCGGATGAATTAAAAATGACAGCCAATCTGTATTATGTTCTTTGGGCATAGAAAGATGAGGCTAATGACTGGGTGAGAGATGATGGCTGGGTAATTTCTGTCACACAAACACAGCCAATGTGTTAAAAAAAACTAAGCAATGATTTGAAAATCAAAAAGGACATTTAAAGGTCAGAACAGGCCACCAAGAATGAGGACAAGAAAATATCCAAGAAATACAAGAAATACAAGAAAAAAAAGAAAAGAAAGAAAGCTAAACCTCAAGAGCAACTGAGGCTAGTGTGAGATGTTGCAAATGCCAGGACAAGCTTTTTAAAGCTTCTCTTCACAGGAGGATAATTATTATCATTTAGAGAAAATGGCCAAATTTTATGAAACAAAAGCTAAACTGCTTGATTCCTATTTTTGATCAGCCTTTTCTCACAAAGCAAATATAATGAGTTGAAGAGACATGGATACAATTAAAGTTGACAGAGAGATGGTCACAGAATGTCTAAGGACATTGAATAAATTTGCTTCTCCAGATCCTGATGAACGATTTCTCAGGCTGTTGAAAGAATTTGCTTCTGTACTATCAGAACTTCTAAAATATAGTATAGGTTTCTCAATAACTGAGGACAACATTCTTATTCACAAAAAGCTAAATATGAAGGATCCAGGAAGTTATAGGCCAGCCAATCTAACATCTATATTCAGTAAAATTCTAGACCAGATAATAAAATTCTTGATCTGCAAACACCTTAAAAACAATGCACTGATTATTTAGAGATGACATGAATTTTTCAAGAATAAATAAAATCAGACTAATTTTATTAATTTCTATTTTGAATTGTGTAATTTCCTTCCCCATCAAGTCCTGCCACGCTGCCTCATTGTGATGGGCTGTTCCTGGGAGGGATGAGCAAAGAATGTCAGGAGTGTGTGACAAAAGTATATACTTCTAGCAGAGTCACTCACAGAGTGAAAGTCATTTCAACTGCCAGCTAAACAGAGCAGGCATCTATATATAAAGTGACTGATGATATAGTGTCAGATGATTGGGCCTCTCAGGTCAGATGTTAATCAACATGCTATTGAGAAAATGCTCTTTTGAAGTACTAATGGTGTTTATTAATAGCTAGATTAAAGCTTTGGGACATTTAGTTTCTGATGTTGTCATGCAGGAAAAGAAAATCCAAACCTTCAAACACTGACAATTAGATGTAGATGTAGATCCTGACAATTACAGTGGGAATATGGACAGCAAGAAGCATGAGCATGGGAAAGTTCAAGACAGAGAAAGATGAAATGAATTGACTACACATTGACATCTTGGGTATCAGCGAATTGGACTGGAATAGGGCACTTTCACTTAGAAGATCATACTATTTACTACTAGGGACATGAAAAACAAAGAAGAAATGGTGTTTTCATAGTCAGTAAGGATATGGTAAAGAGAGTACTTGGTACAATGTAGTCAATATCAATTAGATGTTGCAGACAACTTTTTAACATGAGGGTTATCCAGGTTTATGTTCCAAACAGTGATGAGAAGAAGAGAAGTTTGTGTACACAGAAATCAAATTGACTATATTACTGGTACAAGGCGATGGAAGAGCTCAGTTATGACAGCAAAGATGTGGCTAGGGACTGACTATGAAACAGCTCACAAACTGCTCATGTGCAAGTTCCAAGTCAAACTAAAGAAGAAGAAGAAAGCCAACCAGTTTCCATGATATGATCTCAAACAAATACCCATCATTTATAAGGAGTACATCAGAAATCGCTTTGAAGTCCTGAACCTCATTGATAGGAAACCAGAGGAACAATGGAATGAAATTATAGAAGTTGTTAGGAATGAATGTGAAAAGATACTGCCAACAACCAAGAAACAGAAGAAACCCAACTGAAGACGAATTAACAATCCAATCTTCTGCAGCCTCTTGAGGTTTTGCAATAAAAGATATGAAGGACTGAGATGCAGAAGGCAAGGATCCAGATATGTTCAGAATCTGCACAGTCATCCGGACAACGTTTGGGATAAGTATTTACAGTATTTAAAATATTCTAGAACATAGGGATTTGATCAGCCATCCTGACTGGTAGCTGATTGTTGGGAAATGTAGTCATATTTACAAAGGCCTGGTAATAGTCAAACCTATCCCAGAGCTTATCCCTCTGATATTACATTATTGTCTCCTCTCTAGTATTAAAGTTATACTAAATCCACTGAAAGTTATGGGAGGACTTGCCCCCAAACCTTTAAAAAATACAACTCACCCAATTTTCATTCATTAATAGGTAAACTACCATGATGCGGGGCTTTGAAATGTGAATTCCCCTAAGGTAAGCTTTTTTTAAAAAAATGTAATTACTATTGATGGTACACAATTTTCAGCAGTTTATTTCCTTAGTTTTTTGTTTATTTTTGAAGAGGGAAAGATTTTTAAAAAGTACTGGCAGATTTTATTGATGCTGACATTAACATCAGGGGAAGATGCAATGGGAATGGAACACACATTAGTAGATTTCATGGCAAAATTCTCTTTTGTACTAATGAAAATAGGGGATAGTGATAAAGATAGTCCTCACGTAACAACAGTAATTGGGACCAGAATTTCCATCACTAAGTGATACAGTTGTAAAGTGTGACTTCATGTGACCATGTCACTTAGTGACAGCAGTCCCAGCAGTCCCTGGTTACTGTTGTTAAGCGAATCACCACAGGTCATTAAGTGAGGACCTAATGTGACTGTGACTTCTGACTTCTTGCCAGCTTCCTCATTGATTTTGCTTATGGGAAGCTAGTAGGGAAGGTCACAAATTGCAATCATGTGACTGTGGGACGCTGTGACAGTCAGAACCTCCCATCTCTCTGTGTGCATGGCTACTTCTATGTA